GGGACTTAAGGTGGTACAAGATTTCCTCCATCAACCCTACTTGGAGGTCCATTGTAATTATAACCTACTTAGTAACTGTAGTTATAACCCAATTATATCTAGGGTAACTATAGTTATGGGACTTATATTTAGGTTATAACTACAGTTACTAAGTAGGTTATAAGTACAATGGACCTCCAAGTATACATTAGGAGGACCCCCTGGGTTATGTAGGGATTATAGGGGATATATTGGGGTAATATTGGGATAATGGAAAAGAAAATGGAAACTACTGTATTGTGATACACGGTATATTTGGGGTTATATAGGGACCCCCAACCCGGTAATAGTGGTATAATAAGAATATAAGAGGACCCTAATATGATCCCTATTATCCCTTATAGTCACTATTGCTGGGTGGGGGGTCCACCTAAGTTATACAGAAGCATGCGATGTGTTGGCAAAATTATAGTCCGTTTTAGGCGTACACTGGCATTATATCGGGGCCGCATCATGATAGGGACCTATCAAGGGACCGTGATTTTGACAATCTACCATGAAGGGTAGTGGGGAGGCAGGCTTTGCCCAGATTTGAAGTGGCAGGTCAATGCGCATAAACCTTGTCAAACTACACAACAGCATGGCTTGTGGCTCACATTTCTGCCACAGGATGAGAAGGAGTTTCAGAACATTGGCAAGTACAAGCTGCTTGGCAATCAAAAGCTCAATGACTCTGTGAGATGATACCATGTTCCCGTTGCAGGTTCTTCAACACCAACAACTTGTGGGTAGACCTGATGGCCTTGAAGAGGGAGTTTAAGAAGAACGAGGGAACGCTGCCACTCCCAGTCATGAAGACGCTTGGCATTGTCTCACCATCCATGACGCAGAATCTAAAGCCAGTTCGTGCGACAATGTGGGATCCTACAACTTCTCTTCATTTAAGTCTGGCGCTCTGCTGTTCAGGAACTCCAAGACTGTGGATCCCAGAGACAAGGCTTCCACGAAGGTCCTGCAGCTGGAAACGGCCATGGGCGCTGCAATCCAGTGCTTTGAAGGCGCGACGCGCTTTGCTCTGTGCACCGCAGGAGCCAGCATTCAAAACTGTCCTTGTGAAAGCCGCTCAGACTTGTGCAGAGTCCAATGCTGAGTCAAGGCTGTGATCGCACAGCTGAGCCATAATTGAAACTCCTAAAAGGGTTATATAGGAAATTATATAGTTGACCATTCTCGGGCTTGTCAAGGGCGATGCTAGGAGTTCAGACTAATGCTCATAGTAGGGTTACGTTACGGGTATATAGGGATAATGGACAAGAGACAAGAAGCTGGAAACTACTACATTATACTCGGGGCATCTAGTGGGGTTATAGTAGGGGGACGTGGCTTTACAGATTCGGAAGGTGCATCCGCCCTGGTCATCCCGCGTTCGCGCTTCGCGCCGGTGAAGACGACGAACGACTTCTCTGGGGCATTGGGCGAAGTGGTTTAGGGGTTTAGGGTTTTGAAGTGTGTGTTGTGATTTGCAACTGTGTTGGCCTGATTGGGCTTGATTTTTGTTGGTTTAATACCAAGAGTAGTGGAAGTAGTAGTGGGGGCTTCATAGAAATACAAGTAATAATTTCAGTTGCAATAACCTTAATAGTAATAATCGTGATAAGCTTTATAGTAAGACCATTGATATAACAGTACTATTGGTTCTGCTATTACTGTAGTGCCGCTTCTCTGCCTGACTTGAAGCAGGACCTCTTGGCCTTGCGGTCGGATGCCTACCAGCTCACCGAGGACGCAAGCTGCCGAGACCAGCTGTAGTATGGTTTAAGGTTTAGGATTCAGGGTCGGGGGTTTTAGATGGATTTTGTTGGAACCCCAATATCGCCTTACATAATCCCATATAACCCTACAAACCGTGTATAAGCCCAATATTACCCTACAGAACCCTACATTGAGGGTGCTGCCAGGATTTCCGCATCGTCCTGGCACCCGAGCGTGAGGGAGTTCCACCCGATGTGAAGCTGGATGGAATGTACAAGTTCTTCGTGCCTGGGATGGAATACATCTATTCCAGCTGGCTTCCCAGTTAAGGATCATCAGATCACCTCGTAACACTGTAGCTGCAACAACGCATCAAGACATATCTTGAAGAGAGGAAGTTTAAGCAATTATTTGTCTTGTTATACCCATTATCATGGAGTGTGCTCTTACATTACCATTATGCCGCCTTCAGCGAAGGATGCCATGGAAAAGCTGATACCGAATGGGCCACCCTCCCTGATTGGCTGCAAGAAGCTGGTCATTGAAGGACCCATTTGAAAGTGTGGCGAACGGTTTGAGCACTTTCTGCTCAGGTTCCGTTGTTTGGGAGCAGAGCTGCAATGAGTCTGTGATTAGCCCCTGGAGGGATGCACGCACACGCACACACAGACACCTCTCTCTCTCTTTCTCTCTCTTTCTCTCTCTCTCTCTCTCTCTCTCTGTCTGTCTGTCTGTCTCTGTCTGTCTCTCTCTGTCT